ACACACAGGCTGCTGACTTCCCACCTGCGTCTCCACTCCAGATGGCGCTCCTGCTTTCCAGTCTTCTCTGGGCATCCAGCTATGAGACTTCCTCACCTGGATGTCCATGGATTTATCCGAACAACATCTGCAACACTGGACACATCTCCTTTCCCTGGAACCTGCTCCTCCTCATGCAAGTTCCCATCTCAGAGAACGGTGGAAACACGTGACCCGCTACTGCCTCACTCCCCACACGATGTATCTTCAAGTTCTGTTGATTCCACTTCCCGGCTATTTCTCTTAGCCAGCCACCTCTCACGATCTGTGCCCTCTGGTGCAGGCTACCACCATCTGTTGCCTGCCAAGCTTCCTAAGTGGCCTCGTGGCATCCCAGCATGCTCCCCTCCCATCCACTGCCCACACAGCAGCCAGGGTGACCTTTCCAAAATGGATCTATGACTGAGTCACTTATCCGCTAAAACCCTTTAATGGTTTCCCACTGCTGTTAGAATAAAGTGAAAAATTCCTTAATATGTATCGCAAAGCCCTTCACAGCCTGGATCCCGCCCATCTCCCCATCCTCACTTGGCTCCTTTCTCCGCGCCAAGCACCAGCCACACAAAATTTTTCAGTTCCTCTAATGGTCCATGCTCTGACTCTCTTTGTGGCCCCCATATGTGCTATTCCTCTTGGTAGGAACACCTTCTCCCCTACCTGAAAATTCCCATGCCAAGGAATGATTATTCTGAGCTGAAAGGACGGACTCACATTGATAACGACCCTTATTCCATACTGCACATGTACAGCCCTCGATATCTGTTAAGAGTTTTAACTATATCCCTGTCACTATAATGACCATATTTTGCAAACCAAAATTCCAAAGAATAGAACTGAATTTTGGACAACAGGACTGTCTTGGAACATCTTGGCTTTATGTAAGTCCCATTTTGTGGCAGGGGACATTTAGAAACCTGGCCTTCCCTCCTTAGGGATAAGGGATTGTAGGGTGGTCCCAAAAAGGACAGAGGGCAACAGCTGCTGTAGGCACATGTCATGTAATGGGCTTGATATTTAGTCCAGTTTGTAGGGGTGGGATGTTCTGCTCAAGATGAACCTTATGGAGTCTTCTTACGCCTGCGCAATGAAGAGGTGCTAAAAACTAAACACACACACACACACACATACCCCTTCATGCTCCTTAGGAGTGTAAATAATCTTTGAGGCACTCAGAGGTAGCTCCCTCTCTTGAAGGAGGGAGGAGCAGAGAATCTCCAGCTGCCCTTACCTACCTTAGGACTCCCTTATTGTCCAAGAACAGAGTGTAATCTGGCCCTTTTTGGGGGCTGCATTGGGAACACCCACCCCATAAGGAGGAACAAGAGAAGCGGCTCTGGATTCAGAACGAATGGACGTGGATACCTAGATCAGTTCGAACCCAGAACTCCTGGGGCAAGTGGGCTAGGTTGTGGTGGAATTTGAGCACCCGGGAGGTATCCTGGAGACCCCAAGTGATGGACATCCTTGGTGCAATTTACCACAAAGGCAATGAAATGATCTTCTCTGGAAGATCCCTTGAGGGCATTATGCTAAGTGAAGTAAATCAGAAAGAGAAAGATAAATACTTATAACCTCACTTATAAGTGGAATCTAAAAAAAACTGAACTCACAGAAACAGAGAACAGCTTGGCAGTTGCCAAGCAGGTTGGGGGGGGGGGCCAGTTGGGGGAGCGAATGGGCTGAAGGTACAAACTTTCAGTTATAAGATAAGTTCTGGGGATGTAATCACGTCATGGTGACTAAGGTTAACAGTACTGTATTGTATATTAAAAGTTGCTAAGAGAGTAGATCTCAAAAGTTCTCATCATAAGAAGAAAAATGTGTAAGTGTGAAGTGATGGATGTTAACTATGCTTATTGTGGTAATCATTTTGCAATACACACGTATATCAAATCATTATGTTTTACCTTGGACTAATACAATGTTATATGTCAATTATATCTCAATAAAACTGGAAAAAAAGGTCCCTGAGGATTTGTGAGTGGGTGGGATCAATATTGCCCAGCATCAGCTGCTAGAAGGTCTCAGACTGGTTCTCAACAGAAGTGTGTGATGGCCTGAGAGCCAATGAGGCGACAGCCGGCTGACAGTCCTTACTCTACTCACCTAGAGGGGGAAGTCAGCAGCCTCCTCACAGCCCCTCAGAGTTTCTAGCCCTTTTCATGGCCCTAACTTTCCATCTATTTCTAAACTCATCTGGTAATTATGGAAAAAGTAATGATTAACCGGGAGTTCGTGAAACCTCTTACTGATTTACTCAACACCACACAGTAAATAACAGGTAGAGAGTGAAACAAAAAAGCTATTGAGGAAAGATGGTTGGTACACTGTGCTGTCAAAAACACAGAAACAGAGGGCCGGCCCTGTGGCAGAGTTTGTACCCTCCACTTCAGCAGCCCAGAGTTCACCAGTTCAGATCCTGGGTGCAGACCTACACACTGCTTATCAAGCCATGCCGTGGCAGCATCCCACATATAAAAGAGAGGAAGATGGGCACAGATGTTAGCTCAGGGCCAGTCTTCCTCAGCAAAAAGAGGAGGATAGGTGGCGGATGTTAGCTCAGGGCCAATCTTCCTAAAAAAAAAAAAAAAAACATAGAAACAGAGGCAAGAAAGGAAAGACTCATGAGCTCATTGGCCCATGACAGTCAAGGACTGCTCCCTCCAATGTTATGATGTTCTCCAATTCTGACTGGAGCTACTGGAAGTTACACCAAATCACACTACGTCGGCATAAAGCCTCAGTGAGGAAAAAGTGGCTTCTGGACAGAGGAATGAAACACAGAATTAGGGCAACATGACCAGACCCAACTAACTGAGTGCCTTTGATAACACACTGGAAAGCAGAGTTGGGTTTTGAATCGACTGAAATCTTCCATAAAAGGAGTCTGAATGCAGGCTACATAACATCCAAAAACTCCCCGGAGAAATTCCTATTAAGTACATGGAAGGAGGAGTAAAGCAGTCCCATCAGGCTGGGCAGAGAACATTCTCTGCTTAGCGAACCTTTGCAGTTCTTGTGTCTAGTGCCAACTACCTGCATGTTCATACTAGACCCAGGCCCTGCACACAGAGGTGTAAGCATATTGAAAAATGAGCTAGACAGAGCCGGCAGTGCTGGGCAAGTCCTAGTCTCTCAAACATCAAAACCACAAGGCAAGATATTGAGAAGAGTATTATTTTTATAAAGTCCCTAACTGGTTATGAACCAATATTATGACCAACGTTACTCAGAGCAGTTATAGCAAAGTAGAGTGATGCTGTCTTTTCCATTAGCCTCCATCAATACATCAGCTAAAATCAAGAACAGGCTGACACACATCATGGGTGAATTTTGCTCTGGGACTGACACTGTCAGAGAAACCTCAGAACTTTAAAGTAAGTGTACAGCGATACGAGCCTTATTAGGAAATAAAAGTACAGACGGATAAGGTGACTCAACTCAAATGACACCTGCTCCCAGAGACCTCCCCTGACAAGCCACAGTACTGAACTCCCTTTTTCTCAATGCGGTAACCTCCAGTTCCTCTGCAACATGGTAACTTTGATAACGATCAAGGGATCTGGTGAATTTGTGCACGGGTTTGTCCCTCCTCCCTGGGTGAATTTAGATCCCAGAGAGGGGAGCTTTGCGTGGTTCATTCCTCTGTCCCTAACACCCACAGAGGGTGGCACAGAGGGAGCCCTCAATGACATCTGATTGGTTATCTTTCCAACTTGCCAAAGGACAAAGAGTTCAATTTTCTGTGATTGAAGTCTTCATGGAGTCCTAAACCAGCATTCACATTAATTCATCAAAACATCACGTACTGGGGGGCCGGCCCTGTGGCGCTGCAGTTAAGTGCGCACATTCTGCTTCGGCGGCCCGGGTTCGCTGGTTGGGATCCCAGGTGCAGATGTGGCACTGCTTGGCACGCCATGCTGTGGCAGGCGTCCCACATATAAAAAGTAGAGGAAGATGGGCACGGATGTGAGCTCAGGGCCAGTCTTCCTCAGGAAAAAAAGGAGGATTGGCAGCAGATATTAGCTCAGGGCTAATCTTCCTTAAAAAAAAAAAAAATCACATATTGGAATGGAAAGCCTTTTCATTATCGACGTAATATTAATTAAATTCATACCTAGAGGGAAAGTGGTCTGAAGCAACACAGCTGCAAGTGCGGGCCATAGACCAACGGCATCAGCATCTCTTGGCAGTTTGTTAGAAAAGCAAAATTGGGTCCTGCCAAAGACCCAGTGAACCAGAATATCCAAGGGCGGAGCCCAGAAATCTGTGTTTAATAAGTTTTCCAGGCGACTTTCTGTACCCTAGAGTTTTGAGTAACTGTTATTCAGAAATAAAAGTGAGAATAAACAAGAAATGTCATAAGGACGAAGATTTTGCCAAGGACAATTGGCACATTCTTGCCGTCATTTAGATTTAAAAAATCAGGAAAGAGGAGGAGGATGAATTATGGCAAAATTACACGCATGAGGGGCTGGCCCCGTGGCCGAGTGGTTAAGTTCGCGTGCTCCGCTGCAAGGGGCCCAGTGTTTCGTTGGTTCGAATCCTGGGCGTGGACATGGCACTGCTCGTCAGACCACGCTGAGGCAGCGTCCCACATGCCACAACTAGAAGGACCCACAACGAAGAATATACAACTATGTACTGGGGGGCTTTGGGGAGAAAAAGGAAAAAATAAAATCTTAAAAAAAAAAAAATTACACGCATGAATATGGCACTCTGAATGCATGCCCATGGATGCCAGCAAATAACCGCTCCACATTCTGTTCCTTGAGGCTTCCCAGAGCTGAACAAACCACCAGCAAGTGGACCACACTCCCTGCATACAAAACTCTGCCTATGCTTGGTTTCCCTCTCCTTCCCAGGGCCAGTACCCTCTGTGGCTCTTTCTAGGAATCCTTCTAACAGAGGACTGACCAGGCCGACTGAGCGAAGGCAGCCAGCGGGGAGGAGAGGCCTACCGTGGTTTAGATGCCTGATGCAGTCACTCAGCAGGGTGCTGAACTTCTTCTGGTCAGCGGCCTCAGCGAAGCAGAAGTAGCCATGTCTGAGGAATGGCTGCCACAGGAACACCGGGAAATCCTTTGGCAGGACCACGAAGGGCTGAGCGTTCTCCTTCTCATTGGAGGCTAAAGAAATATTGAAATCACAAAGACATTTTAAAATGTGTGTATCTTTTATTCAAAATACTCATTTCAGGCCGTGGAGGTAACGCTCTGGGGCAGGCCATGGGATGGAAGTGTGGTGCCAGGCGTCTTCCCAGGGAGGGGGAAAATGAGAGATGGGGCCCCTCTGCCAGCTCACCTGTCTCACCCCATCAGGTGGTCTCACCTCCTACTCGGCAGGGACAACCAAGGCCATGAGACACAATCTTTCCCAACTTCTTCACTCAAAATGATGAGCAAACAGCGCTCACTCTTCCCTACTGGCCTCTTCAGGCTACCCTGTCCACCTGTGCAGACTCAGCCTCACTCTCCCCACGGCTCCCCTCCACCAGGCCTGCTCTCGGCCACGCACTCTCTCCCTCCTCCATGTCATGGCCACACCAGCACTTGCTGTCATCATGCCATCAACCTCTATTTCAGCTCAGTCTTGTCGCTGCCCCACCAGTCCCAAAACGCATTGCTGAGGCCACTACTGTCATCCTAACTGCCAACCTGGCTGCTTCTTCATCACCTATCCTTTGAACCTGATCTGAAACATCCCATGTTGCCAGCAACCCCTTCTTTTGATGACATTCTCTTCTCGACTTCCAGGGGCATCTCTTTCCCAGTGTCCTTCGTGCTTGTTAAGAATTGTTTCTTCTTTGTCATCGTTAATGGCTCCTCTGCCCCTTCTCTCCATGCCCCCGTTAGCGCTGGTGTTTGCCCCGTTCTGTGCTGGTTTCCCTCCACTCTCAGTCTCTACTCTCTCTAGCATGGTGACCCATTCTGTGACTTTGCACATTGTTTCTGCAGTTCATATCACCTTTTCCTTCTTCCCTTCCATCATGGTTTTGAAAAGAAAATTCTCATTCATCTTACAAAAGTCAGTCCAAAATCTGCCTCCCCTGCCACCACAGAAAGAGTTGGGTGCTCCCTAACTTGTTCTCCCAAAATACCGTAATGACCTGTTTCCATGTCTGGCACCGACACTCAGGGTGGGCGAGCAGACTGAGATAAGCTCCCCAACTGGTTCTCACATGGTTCCCCTCCCCAAGAAGCAGAACAACTGCCCCAGAGCTCCGAGAGCATGGAGACTGCATCTTACATCTCTGTATCCTTAGTCCGTGGCAAGGTCATGGAACCTAGCATGTGTTCAACTGCAGTTTGTCAAATGAATACGTGTGCTACATTGTCCTAGGAAATTTTAAAAGCCTTAAACAATGAACTTTTCCCTCTTTCCTCAAAATCAATTCCAGCAAACTCATGTTAAACTACTATTCAGATTCCCTACCTAAAGTTTATCCCCTTCCATGCATTCCAATTATGTTATATTGCACTTGGTTAAATGAGCCCCAGCCTATTTCTAGAGTCATGAAGAACAAGCAAAAAAAAATTAGCTCTGTACTCCCTGCCTACATAATGGGTACCAATCTCAGGGAAAGGAAGGGAAGGAGGACTCTCCAAGAGTTTATAGTAAGCACTGGGCATACTAAGAAATGGAGCGTAACCATAATGGAGGCTCCAGAAACTGAGTCTTGCTGCTGGCAAATTAATAAACCAAGATTGGCTTAGAGAAAGAATAGATTTCTTGGGCATATATGGGAGCCCTGTTTCAGTGTCCTGAAATCTGAAGGTAACAGAGTAGAATGCACTGGAAGCACAAACTTTGGCCCATCAGTACCTAGCAAAATGCCCGGCACATCATAACATAAGAATGAATCAATATATGAATGAACAAATAAATGAATGAATGGTGGAACTCTGTAGCAGAGACTTCGAGTTGTAACGCATTATCTATTCTCTGATTCTTTCCCAGTAATAAAATCCCTGACTTTTAGTTAAGCAAGTGACTGCAGAGAATAAAGACTACATTTCCGGCCTCCATTGCAGCTTGGTGTGCCACCACCACTAAGTTCTGGCCAGTGGGATGTACATTGAAGTGGCAGTGAAACTTCCTGGAAGTATCCTTCAAGAGAGGGAGTGTCTCCACCTCCTCCTCTATTCTCCCTCCTGCTGTCTGGAATGAGAAAGCCATGGCTGGTGCTCCAGCAGCCACCTTGGACTATGTAAACAAGGGCCAAAACCTGGAGATAAAGGGGGGAAAGCTAGAAAGACTCCCTGACATTTATGGAACTGCCATACCAGCCCTGGACCTAATATCCAAATATTTAAAACCTTATGTATTTAATTTGAGTTTTTTGTTGTGTGTAGAAAACTAGATTCTAACTAGTAAAATGCCAAATAAATGAATCACTGTAGTAAAATGTGGGGGCATTTTTGATATGTCATCTTAGCAGACTATTGTATAAAGAAGACATATTTATTAATAAATCCCTAGTGATTATCCTCAAGTGAGGTTAATTCCTCCCATCTTTTATTGTGCCTTTATTCTTTCCAACAGAACTATATCACACAGTGAGTGCTTCTGTTAACATGGTTTCGTGAAACAATTCTCCTTGCCCTTTCCAAGATGTCACCATTTTGTGCAAACAACTGAAAGCAACATTGACCCTTTGCATTTAAAAGCTACAGCAAGCCCCATAAAATTCACTCCTATTAACCTCTGGTTATCTCTCATTTAACCTTTTACAACAATTTTCCGGATGCCATTAGCCTGCATTTTTTCTGAGTTGAGTTACAAGGATATCACAGATGATCTAGTGTAGAATATTCTATTTTTAAAAACTCAAAGGCCACACCATACAATAAAAAAAGTCACTGAACTACCCCAGCTGAAGCCCCGAGCCAAATGGCACTAGTCACACAGGGCTTGTGTTTTTTATTCCTTTTCATTCCTTATGATATGATTTCATCAATAAATCAATAAATATATTGTTTGTTCTGACTGGTTTCATTGGAAAGTTCTTTTGGAGAGGTTCTGAAGAGTCAAGATGTTGGTATCCCCATTTCTAGCATCAGCTTCAGAGCCAAGATGACATATAAGCAGATGTTGAAAGAAAATATGATAATATGTACAGTGCACATAAAGTGTTGCTTTAGCTTGGATTACTCAGTAATAGTTTGTTAATCTAGGTTTATGGTCCATGTACTAATCCTATCATGGGGTTATTAAAAACACTATGCTAAGCATTCTGTAGCAGTTGATAAAATTATTATATTTTTCTCCATAAATTCCAATGAAATGATTAGACCCATTAATAAGAACCAGGGCTCTCTTCAAGAAACCAAGTAATTGCTGGGTGGCATGATTTACACAAAGCCAGATGGAGTGATTACATTATCCACAGTTCATGAATCTCTATGAAATGTGCTGTCTGGTCTATATATTATCCATTACTTTCTCTACATGGAAAGACTGAAATGAATGAGAATCAAAGTATGTTAGACCTGGAAAGATCCTTCTAGATTTTCTAGTTGAGGGCCCCAGAGTTAGAGAAACAGAAACCAGAGAGTTTGGGCAACTGCTAGAGAAAAACACTTGATAAAAATCTAGTCTAGAACTAGATAAAACTCTAGCCTCCAAATTCTCAGTTCGATGCTCTTTCCATGGCTGCATCCAACTACTATTTATAGATATGCTAATTAATGCCATGCTTTTTTACACAGCAGCTATGAGTTACTGTAATGCTTGTTCAAAGTACTTTGTCGATTCAGGATATTTTATTGCATATCACCCTAAAATTAGAAAAATAATATTCCCTGACAGGTCCAGGCTTGCTTACTGAAGGATGGGATTGCACATTTCACAGACTGGGTCCTGCCTATTTATTTCTGCTGTCCTGCGTACTGCTATTAACGCTTGTGATCTGTTCCAAACCCTCAGGATGTCTGACAAATGGTACATTTTCCATGTGCTAGAAGCACAGTAACTGACTTATATATTACTGACTGTGATTTAAAATAATAGAAGCGGTACAGTGTTTACCTAAATTAGAGAAATTACATCTTCCGTTTGTCTATGGAGAATGCGTGCGCATCCCAAGGTTTCTCAACCTCGGCAACTATTGATATTTTGTCAGATAATTCTTCATTGTGAGGGGCTGTCTTGTGCCTTACAGGATACTTAGCAGCATCACGGGCCTCTACCCACTGAATGCCTGGAACACCATCCCCCCAAGTTGTGACAACCAAAAATGTCTCCAGACACTGCCAAACGACCCTGCAGAATGAAATCCCGTTCCCCCTGAGAACCACCAGTCTAGCCAAACAAAGCAAGTTTAGGAATTTTGCCTTGGGAAAGAATGCTCAGCCACTCACCAATGGGGTCTGGGAAATGCCGATCAGATAATAAATTGTATTCTTCTTCTGATGTTACTACCTTGCCACCAGCTGGAAGAATTCGGCTTTTAGGAGCAGCTCCTCTCTGATAGGCCTGGGAAAGGAAAAGCGTAAATGAGTGATTTTTTTTCCCATTTGGATTTTTGGAAAATATCAGGAATATTAGAAACTGACAGACAGACCCAGACACATACACGCAGAGACAGCAATTCCTACACTATGTCATTGAGTAAGAGCCATTTATTTAAAAAATATATTTTGCATACTTGCAAGGTGTCACTTTAGGACTTTGGTGTGATGGTTACCACACAGTAAATCACAGTCCCTAATCTCAGAGAGATTCACTGTAGGGATGTTTCTCAAATGGGGAAAATGTAATCGCAGTAACTTCTAGAAATTCTGCATCACACTTACCATATCAGATGGCAGCACCTGAATCATTCTAATAACCACAAGGATGACGACACCTACAGACATTTACTGCAAAGATGCTTGGAGACTGATGACTAATGAGACTGTGGGACTCGTAACTACAATTAGGGTTGCCATGGATTTTCACCAAAAACATAAAAATGTTGCCATGATAACATATGCCACCACTGCCCTCAGACCTGAGACTGTTTTGCAGTAAAATGATCTGGGACAGAAGTACAGAATCTATGACATCAACACAAATTCTGGCCAGCAGACAAAAAGCTCTGCTGTTTGGGAAATGTCAAAGATTTGCAGAGCAGTGCTAAAGAACGCAAGCTGTTTGTTAAGCCGATAAACCCACAAGGACATACAGATAAGATAAAATGTAAGTATGTGCATCTGATGGGAGGGCTTAAGTCAAGGCAAAATTTTGAGACTAACAAACTAAAAGCAAGTTGAGAATTGAAACCAAGAAACTATGGGGCTCAAAATCTAGAGTGTCTTCTTGGGAATAATTAAAATAATGTTGCTCAGGGCAAGAAAATCAGAATAACAATAATACATTCTGCATCAACAAGATAGTGACTGAAGAGAGTCAAACAAAAGAAACTCTTATATCTAAGAAGGTTATTTTCACACTTGCAAGAACCGCTAATCACTTGCTTAAGCAGAACAGAGAAGAAACTGAAGTTGTGTGATTTTGAGAAAGTCTAGGAGCAGTTTGATTCAGACTGGCCTCAAATCTGAATTGTCTTATTTGTTATAACAAGCTTCAACCTTGGCTTTTATAAGCATTATATATTTAATCCTCAAAGCAGCACTATAAATTAGTTATCATTTCCATTTTATAAATGAGAAAAATGAAGCCCAAAGAAGGTAAATAACTTGCCAATGGCCCAGTGGTGAGTAGACAAAACCAGGATTCATTCCTGGATCTGTGCAGCCCCAGTGCAAGCATACAGGAAGTGGGAAGTGATTATCCAATGAGAATGATTCATTTTTTCCTGCTTAATTACCAGCCGAAACTGGACTTGCAGTAAAACAATAGGCAATTTATAGGTACCTAATGTATAATTCTCAGGTGTAATTAAAAAAAAATACACCTTTCTATAAATCAAAAAACAGGATATTATTAAAACTTTGAGGAATTATGGCAAGCTGCATGGGCATTTTCTTTAATCCCCACTTTTTTTTAATGTTTGGTTATAAATTTAGTGACCATATTTTAACAACCTGAACAAGTTCATTCGAAAAGGATGAGCAAAGCAAAGAAAGCAGTATTGTCCACAAATTGCAAGTTGAGGCAGCAAGCTTAAAAAAACGAAAAGAGGAAAAACACCAAAATTTGATTCAAAATGAAACTTCAGTTAGTGCCAAGTGTGGTGAAAACCTCAATAAATCCAAGAGCAGGCTCTGAGTGTTTTCCGCCAATCAGTTAGTAGAAATCATATCGACAAGTGCAATTTGGGTTCTGCTGGCGCTTGGCACTATGCTGAGCGCCTCAATGCATTCATTTCTTTAATCCTCACAACATGGAGGTGAAGGGAGCATACTCACTGTTTTCTAGCTAGCCTGTGGAATAAGTCTGCACTATATTTTATTTCTATTTTCCATCAGAAATGGGAAGGAAACATTGGTCTGCCAGCCTGAAGCCTCTTCCTTATGCTTTAGCCTCAGGCATCTCGCTCAGCGCAGCCCTGGAGGTTGTTCTGACTGCTCTTGAACTTAGAGTCAGGAGAGCAGAGTTTTAAATCTGTTACTATGTTTAACTGGCAAATAGTAACTATTCATCTCAAAGGGAGCTTGAGAATCTATGTGGACGAAATGTGCTTACAGTATGAGATCTGGAAAGAACCAATGGGATCATTCAGCCTAACGCTCTAGTTTAACTGAGGCTTGACCTAAACTGTAGTTTTCCAAATTCACTGCCCAGTGTTCTTTCTCCTATACCATGTTACCTCCCTACTTAGGGAAAGAAATAAATACTGAAGTCCTCCAGGTGTTAGGCACTTTACATACATTATCTCATTCTCTCCACATTTTACAGACAAGGAAAATAATGAGATAACCAGGAATAAGCGAAGAAAATCCCTAAGTGGAATAAAGTATGTGAAATGTTCTGAATTCCTAGGATCCCATGCAAACTCAATCATAATTTTATTAAATAACTCCTCAGCCACCTATCATATAGGAGGCTTAAGAGTGGGAAGACATGGAGACACACAGCAGAGAGGGTGAGATATCAAGGAGGTGACTCAATGGTCATAGGAAAGGCTCCTGCACTGGTCACTCGGTATAAACTTCTATTTTCATACTCACTTGCAATTACTTGTTCAAAGTCTGTCTTACCCACTAGACTGCAAGCATCTGTCTGATCTACTGCTAAATGCACAGAACCTTCTATACCACTTATCATATAATTGGCACTCAATAGATATCTGTCAAGTGAAATGAGTACCTGCATGAGTGAGTTCTTATTGAATCAATCAATCCTGAGGGTAAGGGCATGCCAATCAACCCAGCCAATGTTTAAGAATATTGCAAGAACCTATGGTAACAAGGAAATGTCTCACCTCTTTGTTCTCATAGCTCTCCACAGCAAAATCATTTTTAACTACAATGTATCTCTCCTTCCATTTCTTTATATCTTCAGCAAACTGGGATAGCTCTGCTTCATACAAAACAGTTCCAGGCTCCAGTGGTGGCTTAAAGAAGATGAATACAATTAACCGTCACAACAAAAGATCACACACCTGTGCTACCACCAGGTCTATCCATGGTATTTCAAGGAATATTTTAGGAAACTGTCTTGTGCTGAGATCCTGGGGAAATTCTTGCTTCCTTCCCTCCCTCCACACTTCCCCTTCCTTCTCCTCCTGACCAAATACAAATATCTGTCTTATTGGTATTTTTGTGATTTCCATCTCCCTCCACTATGCTACCGGAGCAGAATCATATGGTAGAAGGGATTATAGTAATAAATTTCTGCCTTATATACATGTGGCACTTAATAAATCCTTGATAAACTCCTATGGGAGAGAGGGAGTGAGGCAGTTAAGTACACGTTGTTGACGTTTATCATAACAGCCTGAATATGAAATAGGACCCAGGCTATAAACACTTAACCCATCCCCATGCTTCTCAAGGAGACCACGTTTGCTCTCTGGTTAAAGAACAAGCAGGCAAGCCAGCAAACCTGTGTTCTACCTCTTCTACTTAAAAGTTCAAGGATTTCTCATTAACCCTGGTGACATATGTGCTGCAGGGGAGTCTCTGTTAGATTTCTTCTTAGGTCTTGCATTGGGCCATCTGTGTGAAGGATAGTTCCCATCCCGCCTCATGGTGCAATTTCCATATTATCTCACAATATAGCAATGAGCCTCCTGTCTTTCACATGTCACTGAATTTACATCTATATTCCCTTTATTAAAAAGCCATAGTGCCTTTAGAAACTCATCCCTCCACTTTCAAGCAAAATTTACATGAACCATACAGAGAAGATAGATACGCTAATCTTTTTAAGAATCGTCTAAGGGATCAAATAAATACCCTCACGAAGTCCAGGGCTTAATGTTCTATCCTGAGAGATAATGAGGCATTTGCAGACTTCAGTCGTCTCTTTAAACGAGACTGAATCCACATACAAGCTAAACTTCACAGTTCTTATGTAGAGCACTTCTTAAACCTGGGCCTCTTAAATCAATGGATATGGTTGTTAAAAATGGAGCCTCACCCTAGACTTGCTATATCAGAATCTCTGGGGGTGTGGCCAGAATTTGCATTTTTATGAAGCTCTCTAAATTTTGAGAATAACTGTTTTATGGAGATAACAATCGTTATCCTACATACTCATGCTGCTACATCTATTCGTCTACCTAAGCTCTCAGTAGTATTTGACCCATTTGTCACTCTGTCCTTCTAGAAAACCCCTCTTTATTTGCCTTCTGGCACATTACGCTTGCTGGATTTTTCCCTTACTGCACAGGCTATTTCTTCTCAGTCCATCTTGCTGGATTCTTCTCCTTTTTCTGACCTCCAAATGGTGGAGGCACCAGGGCTTGGTCATGGAATTTCTTCTTTTCTGTCTATCTTCTCCCTCAATTATGTCCTCTGGCTTTAAAACCAGTTATAAACTAACAACTCCCAAATTTCTATTCTCCAGCCTCAGCCTCTCCATCGAACTCCAGATCAGAACATTCAACTACCTACTCAATATTTCCACAGCTGTATGTCAAATAAGCACTTAAACTCAACTTGGCCAAAAGTGAACTCATAGTTCCCATCTACCTCTGACTCTTCTATGTGAGTAAAAGGCAACTCCATCCACTTATTTGCTGAGGCTAAAAACCAAGAAGTCATCACTGAGTTCTCTCTTCCTCTATTATCTCCTATTCATCTTTCTTTGTCTATTATCTCTCTGATGAATCCATCAGCAAGTCTGTCATCTCTATTTCAAATACATCTTGACTTGGACCTTTCCTCACAAGTGCCACCACCACCACCCTAGTCCAATTTGCCATCATCCTTCTCTTGGACTGCTACCGTGTCTTCTTCTTTAGTCTCCAATTTCCCCCCTTGTCCCTCCCCATAGTCTATTCACTATAGAGAGGAAAGAAAGATCGCTTAAAATTGTAAGTCACCCTGTATTCAATACCCTCCAATAACTTCCTATCCATATTTAAAATAAAAACACTTATCGTGGTCTACGGGTCCCTACCTGTCACTCTGCAGTCATTTCTCATCCCTTCTCCCTTGTTCAAACTGCTCTCAGCACTCTAGCCTTCCTGATGTGCTAACAACTGCTGCAGAGTTTTTGCACCTGCTCTTCCACCTGCCCAGAATACTCTTGCCATAGATATTCACACAGTCTACTCTTATTTCACTCTAGTTTCTATTCAAATGTGATCTCCATAGAGGGCTTCTCTGACCATCTTCTCTAAAATAAAACTTCTGCCTTATTTTTCTTTGTAGTATTTATTATCATGTGATATTCATTAGTTTATTTGTTTATTGCCTGTCTCCTACATTTGAATATAAACAAGAAGCAGAGAATTTGTCTTGTTCCCCAGTTGTTGGAATACGGCCTGGCACATAATAGGTGTCAACAAATAGTTGTTGAGGTTGTGGGTAATTATTATAATGGAGCAAAGGAGAAAGAATAAGTTAGAGAATTAGAAGAGAAAATCATATTTGATCAATGACCAAAATAAAAATGCCCATAGTATGAGGCACTGAAATTATGACTTTTTTTAATTGAACTTCACTACAGCAAGTCAAATTTCCTCATATAAAAGAATCAATGTGGGAAAAACATAAAATTAAATCATGCTAGTTTTCTTTTTATATAGATTATACCACCAGCAAGATCTAACTTCCAGGCATATAGAGTTTTTTGAACATGAAATGATTTGAGAACAGATTTTTTTAAACTGCCATTCAAATTACGGTTTATGTCAGAAACTTTATGAGTTATAAAGCCCTCATAAGTGGGAGAAATATATAAACCAAATGTCCATGAGTTACCTTGGTCTTCAAAATCTGTGATGTGAAATCTCTTTGCTGTTCCACTTCACTGCGTACATGATTGCAGAAAGCCACAGAGTACTGGCGACTGTAGAAGGGACTGAAGTTTTTGATAGCAGCCTCAGTTTTCCCTGGAAAAATATGAAAACTAGAGTTGAAAAGCGTAACCTCTCTCACAGAATAGACATATATCTACATAATTCTATAAACACCCCTCCAGTCTCCCGAACACCACCATTTCCCAGGCATGTGTTATTAGCGCACATTCCCTGAGAACTTTGATACCTGCTGCACAGGGCTTTGTCACTTCTTCCCCTTCTGGCATCATCCGGAGAGACTTTTTGGTCCCTATGAACCACTCATCCAGTAAACAATAGAATTTTTCTTTATTTTATGTCAACAACCCATTGCCACGGCCATGAATTCAACCATCCTCCTAACCCTTCTACAGCTGCCATTCTCCCTCACCCCGTTCTCCACTTCAACTTGCTCTTCATTACCATCTACCACCAGCCATTCAACTCCTACACAACAGTAATCCCGGGGTCCACCATGTCAACTCCGCACACACATCAATCCATTTTGCTTCAGATCCCTGAGACTCCACCTCTAGTCTTGCTGATCCACAGCCCTGGATAAAATCAACAAACTGTTTCTTTTAGTTCTGCTCTTATGTTTCCAGCTTAAAATTTTTTGTGACTCAAAGCATTATATAATTACCACGAGGTAGAGAGAAACGCTTTGGTTTAAGAATCTAGAGACCCAAGTTCTGGTCCCAGTTCCAGCGAGACAGAAAATAGCTGTACCACCTCCATCAACTCACTCATTCTCTCCGGGCTCCAGGGTCCCTAACTATAAAGGAAGGTGCTCACTAGTCCACGCCTTTCTTGGAATCTATGTGACAATGAAGTGTAACCCTGGAAGTACAGCTGCCTCACAATAGTGACCAGCAACTGCCATACGGTCTTTCAGCACCGGAAGAAAATAAAGCTCTGGATCAGCTGTATTGGGGGAGCTGAAGACTCAAGATGGAGAGAGGGAGAAACCGACACTGAGAATATTCTTTAGGTTTTCCAACCCGTGCTTAGCTTTAGAGAGAATGGAAGTTGCAAAGGAGGGAAAGGAGAAGGAGAAATAGGAGAGAAAGGGCAAAGGAGCAATCTGAAGCAGACCAGAAATCTTCACATCCTTTCACGGACTTGCTACAGAGCATAGAAACAAATACAGGTCCCCCTGACTGTGCTCACAAGGAATGACTGCTCGTCCTTGGAATAAGATATTAGCTCGAGAAAAAACACACCCGATATAACATTCCAAAATATTTTTAAATACTTTCATGTGCACTTGGCATAATTTTTGTTTTCAAATTTGATATTATAGTCACAGAGAAATATTAAAATATAACTTACTGGCAAGATTTGTTTAGAGCTATCATGCATGGAAAATTTCAAAAATTAGGAAAGAGTTCTAACCATAAAAATGGAATAATATGAGAACTTGAATCCATAGCTGCCAACTTCCTTTTTTAAATTTTTAATAATTTATTTATTGAGGTAACATTGATTTATAACATTATATAAATTTCAGGTGTACATCATCATACTTCGATTTCTGTGAAGACTACATCGTGTTCACCATCCAAAGTCTAACTGCCATCCATCACCGTACACATGTGGTCTTTTACCCCTTTCACTTCTATACCTATGAACTAATAGCCCAAAACACCCATGATGTATAAATATTCTCCGAATATGGAGAATCTTACTTTAGCTCCGGTATTTAGGTCTCACAATATGTATGAGGTAAAGGGAAATTCTTGCTTATTCTAACATCAATGAAATGACATTTTCTGGTCATATTTATGGGCTTTAATAATTATTACTTGCAAGGTGCTCTGAGACCGACTAATAATAAGTTCTGTAGAAATGCAAATAAAAGCTCCTATAATTTGAATCAGGTATGCTCTTCCTTGCTCTGTGAGTTTATGGTATTACTATTAATCAGTATTTGCATAATACTTTAATATACTCTGGCTTTGTAACTACCTAATTGGTTATTACTTTTATTAGCTTTTATATACTACATATGATGTAAAATTCTACATCCTTGTCTATAATTTTCTTACATAGGAGGGGGACATCTCTGAGAATTCCCACAATGGGAAGAATGTCTCATCTCACTGAAACATATAAACAATTAACACAACTTGCCCTTTATGTCTAAGTGACCACTATTTTGTCAATCAGAAGAGAAGCTTATTAATTTCTGATGCTAAGTTTTGCGCTCTTGCAAGCACTTGGATTTAAATGAAAGGAGGTGGATGTCATTTTATGATGAGCTCTACAAAGCTTTGAAACCTGATTTCCTGCCACATCACAAAGCCTGACTCAAGGAAGCCCTGCTTCTACTAAGATGCTAAGCTGCCACCACTCCCTCCCAATGTATGAGAAATATGCTTCTGTGATTTGAATATCTACATATGGTACCATCAACACGTCATCCACCAGGCAGCATTTATAAAAAAGGGATTACAACTTCCTTGGGTAATTAACTTAATGACTCGTTCAGAATGTGAATAAAACAGCTAGTTTTAGGGTTAAATCACAAGTTCTAGGAGGAAAAGAATCTAATGTGATTCCCAAGATGAATGTAGATTTTAGATTAAGCCTATCTAAAACACAATAAAGGAAGGCCCCATGTAGGAATCTTGACAATTAGAGAAAAGCCTGGTGTTGGGGCAAAGTACTACTGTGGTTAGGAAGATGGACTGGAGTCAGACAGACAGCGGTTTGGGTCCCATCTCTGCTACTTACCAGCAGTGGAACCTCATTCGAGTTGCTTCCCCTTGTATAAAATGAAGATAAAAAGAAGAGCAATCTCATAGTGTTATCGTAAGAATTACACGAAAGACCGCAGTAAAGCGTTCAGCTCTATAGCTGGCGCATAGACAGTGTTCGATAATCCATAGTAATTAAATCAATGATGATAATGGTGATGATGGAGCAATCAAGCCAACACCAGGGGAAGGTCCTTAAGCTGAACTAAGGAATCAGGGAGAAGCCAAAAGCAGTACTTTTAACTGGGACCATCCTGCCCAGCTGCACACGGCACAGCCGCCCCACTCACTGCAGGCTCGAAACAAACAACCTACACCTTCACGGATGTTTCAGGAGCACTTCCCAGCACGTAAGAGGCCCTCAGTGCATCCTTGAATTAAAACCAACTAAATACAATATTAGCATTAATGGGCCGAAGCAAAAAGCATGCGTTAGTAGCTGTGTTACACTGAGTCTCTCTCTCTCTGACCTTCAATTTTCTCACCTATTAAATGTGGTTAATAATGTGCCCATTTTCACAGGGTTTTCTGAGGATTAAACGAGATATTCTGCAGGTAAAAAAGTACCTAGAGCAGCGCCTGATACTTTGGTTCCTCAATAAATTTGACTATTATTACTATCATTTAATATTCCATCGTGAAAACATTCAAATAAGTGGATCAGCCACAGGCTCCACATAAAACAACCTCAGCTGAAACCAGTTTGTTTGTCACAGTTTTCAAGATTCTTGAGTATCGAATTGCCTTCATCCTCCCCTCCATTTAGTATCACATTCCTTTCCCTAAATTGTTTGTAAAACCCAATGCCAAGTCTTTCACCAAAAACAGGTTACTCAATTATAGAAAGACCAGAACCAAAGGAAGGGCTTCTTCCCCATTTTGGTTGTGCCAGCATTTTTGGCACAGGCGTATTTCTTCTAAACCTATTATTATTGCAGTCTGTACTGGGCATCGTGTTGGTACATCTAACTTGACAAGGCTGCTCATAACACCCTTCAGGGTAACCATCACTAAAGCCAAAAGAAGCCCTTTCAACAGCTCTGTCCACAACACTTTGTTTCAGTTTGATCTTGTAAAAGTAAGAAAAGTATTTTCTGGCCCTTTTAAAACCATTTGAATTCATACTGACTCAGAAACTCAGCACTATCGTTTGATTCCTTCTCCCTCACTCCCATATTCAATCATCAGATCTCGTCAGTTCTATTTCCACAATATTTCTTAAATCCATCCCCTTTTCCCATCCCAATCACCCCACCTTCAATCAAGTATTTATTATCTCTCAACAACATTGTAAAAGTCTCTTGACCTACCCTAGCTCAGCAGAGCAAAGGAACTTACTAGCTCTCAGCTCTAAAAGAGAAACAAAAGAGTCAAAACTAGGGTGGGAGAGGGGAGTGCCAATTCTGACACATAGATCCTAGAGGGTTCTGGGTAATAAGCCAAAGTTTGGTCTGTGTGGCAGAAGAAGATTCTGGGAAGTGGCCAGAGTGAGTCCAGGGCTGAAAGAGCTGAATCCAAGCTGGCACCATGGTCCCACTCGAGAGAAAGCCAGCACAAGTTACCATGGCCCAGATGTTGAAGTGAGGAACCGTCCTTCAGAACCAAGTCTTGCCATTAATGCTTCTAGGGAACTTTTGAAAGCTGTAAGAAGCACACATGAAGAGGCAGAATCCTCGGTGTCCTGGCCCAATTTCACTTGACACATTGCGGCAAGACCATGTCACTACCTTCGTAAAAACCTTCAACAGTCCCCGCTGCCTTGAGCAGTAACCGCTTAGCCTAGCACCAAGGGCCCTGTGATCCGGCCCCAACTGTCCTTATTTCCTACCTCTGCTGCTCAAACGAAACCTCCTTGTCCTCTGTACATGCCCATGCCCTCACTCGTCCTTCCTCCCCTAAATACCCTGCCAGCCCCTTGCAGACCCTTCAAGGCAAGACGGCAATCCCAACCTAAGAAGAAGCCATTTTGGCTTTCCCCAGCTGGAAACAATCTCACCTTCTTTGGCATTCTCCCCAAACCCTGCAACACTTTTGCTACAGCTGTTTAAAGATAGCTTATCTCTCCTTCAAGGGTATACCATACTTATGTACTCAGCAAACATTTGTTGAATGAATGAAAGAATAGCTGAGTAATATTTAAAAGAGTAAAGCAAATGACAATGCATTATAACCATGAAACTCATGCCAATGCCCCAACAAAGGAGAAAGGTACAGTTCTCAGATTGAATATTTATTATTAAAAAATATCCAGTCTCCAAACTCATTTGTTTTTAAAAACATCAGACTCTTGCAAGT